GTGATGCCAGCTCAGCAGGGACTGCTGCAAGGCAAGCTGTGCCACTGGGACCAGTTGGCACAGCTGCAAAGAACACCAGCCACAATCCAGAGTGGATGCAGAACCAGATGGAAAGCAATCCTGCTGTGTCAACAAGGCATGGGGAAGGCATGGGTGCAATGTTCTCGCCTTCCATAATTACAAATTACCTTTCATCAAGGCAAGTCTCTTGCTGCTCCCAGATGTTTGCATCTTGTTTCTTGTGGAAAATGGCACTGGCAGGCTTTGCCTGTGTCTGGAGGGTAAAAGACTTGCTGTTTTCAGCAGGTGCTTCTTGCTCTGAAGGTGACCCTAGGGCAGGTTGGTGCAGAGAAGGCAAAGAGCAACGGGGATTGAGAACTCAGACCCTGCTGACTTAGCTCTTGAGATTGCCAGATATGTAGGCAACAACTCTTATGATCAAGAGGGTAGCATCTAGATGAGATCATATTCCTTTTCCATCCTTGGGTTTCTTCCATAGCAGATGTGTTTCTGCTCTACCAGTTTCTAAAACAGTCATGCATATGCAAGTGTGCCAAGAGATTTAAGTGCCTAGGAATGCTGGTAACTTGGTATGGCTAAATTTGTATCAGGAATTAGCTTCTGTAATAGGTTTTCCTGCATGTGTAATCGCTTGTGTGATTTATGTTCCCTGTGTTCATTTGGTCTGCACAGAAGCCTGGCCTGGCTTTGCAAATCTTAATCTGTGTGTGCTGCTGCTGTAAACACCCTGTGGCAGCACAGGGCTGGCCAGAGCTCCCAGGTAGAGCTGAGGTGTTATTGCAGTTTTCTGCTCTTGCTGGTGGTCTTGCTTTTCATGTTGGGTGGCATGTGGCAGGTTCCTTCTGTTAATTAGAACAAATGTGCCAATTATGTTAATGTATCTCCCGATACCAATCAGTGAATGATTAGAGACAACACATCTGTCTCTCACCAGGGAGCAGGATGACAGAAAAGACACTACAAGGTATGTTGTTCTAAATTAGGGACACCTTGGATCATGCCTTCCCCTGCTGGCCAGAGGGACGGCTCCATCTCCTGCAGGCTCACTTGCCAGCCCATTAGCAGCCCTGGATGTGCAGCTCCAGTGCAGCTGGCAGGATCCGTGTGCCTCATGGAACTGCAAGTTGCATCCAGAGTGCTAAGGAGCTCTGGCCAAAAGGTAGCTGGCTCCAGGTGTGCTCCAGCTTCTCAGCATCTGTGGATTCTGTTGGTCAAGTTTTCATTCACCACTCTCACATCTCAACTGATCGACCTTCTCTTGCTAGTCAGTTTGCAAACATATAACAAAAATATCTTCTTGTGTAGAAAACTAGGAAGAAGAGAAAGGATTTTGTGTCTACTTTGTTCCAGAGGTTTAGTATATGAGAAAAAACATGTGTATGTTGTTGTAATTGTAATTTTCCATAGCTGTCATCCCCCAGAGGATACACTTACCCCATCCTTCATGGCATAATTTTTGCCAATTAAATGATTGCTGTTATGATAAGGAAAAAACTGATCCCATGCTTTTTCTACATATATGCATGACCATCAGTACATTTATCAATAACAGCTGGAGGGATGTGCCTGATTTAATTGAATACATAGAGCTAGGTGCATGTTCAGGAATTGTTCTGATTATAGCTAGTAAATATACATCCTTAATATTTAGGCAGAAGCAAACATCTACTCTAGAACATCTCAAGAGAGATGAAAAATGGAAGCATGAAGGTGTGATTTGGTATAACCTTGAAGTCAGGCTTTTGTGCACTTTGAAGAGCCCATTTATATCCTGCTGGTCCTCTGTCCACTTGCCTGAAGGTGTACAGGTCTCTGGCACACAAGTGTCCAGTGCCTTAGCTGCCAGTAACTATTATTCAGGCTGCAGAATTAAATTCAGGATATGTTTCTGCACTGACTGGATTAACAGCCTATTTCTGCAAGGGGGCTGCACCTTGGGGAATGACATGGCATCAAAAGAGATCGTTGCTTTTAACTTCTGTGATAACAGTTTGCATACTTGTCACTTATAAATCAAACTGTCTCATTCTACTTGCTTCTCTTCTGTATTTGACACCTGATCTCTTCCTACTTATGTGACAGAACAACCCTACTCCCACCTGCTTAGGTTACCTCAAAAAAAATAATCTGAGGTTTGGAGGTACTGAGCACTGCAGTCACCTGCACGATAAAAATTAGGTCCAACAGTAATTGAAAACAAGTACCAACAACAGTCTCACATATTGTAGTTTGTTTAATTAGTCCCAATTTCTACAAGGACTGAGGGAGAAAATACAATGACTAGAGGGGTGTTCTTTTTTTTTTGTGTTGCTCTACTGATGGCTAAAATATGTGTGAAAGGAGACTCCCACTGCTTGTCAAATCATCCATCAGTTTCTTCCTTCAGATTTGACATTAGAGTTTGCAACATTAAAAGACACCATAAAAACCTGGATGCCAGAAGACTGAATTAGATATATTTAAGAGATACCTTGTAAAAGAGATGGCATTTAGATTTGCATATGGAGTACTGATGTCCTGGCAGAAAAAAAAAGCCATCCTGTTATTCTTCAAACTTTTACTGTTAGTAAATTCTGTGAGACATTAGGTGAAAAAGGATCTTTTTCCTAAGAGATTTGGTGTAGAGCCAGAGGCAATATACTGAATTATACAGAGCTGCTTTGTTTTGGGATTTTTTTTTATATTGGCAACTTCTCTTTTCATATTATCTTTAGTGGTTTTGCAGGGATGATAGGGAATTCAATGCTTACAGCTTTAATTTTGTCTACTCATTTGAGACCCAGATTGAATATGTATGTGTGTTTTTGCAGAGAGAGAAAATGTTGCAGAGTAGTGGAAAAAAGAACCATGTGCTTGGGCATGGAGCCTTGAGGGCACCAAAGGCTGCTAGGGTATATTCTTGGATGGGCATACCAGAAATATTTTAACTGAGCCTTAGATCATGTAGACTGTAGTCCTGTCTTTACTGCTGTCCTGGTGTCCTCAGCATGCAAAGCAGGGGAAGAGTACAGGCAGATTTGAAAGTGGGATGTACACAGTGTGTGTAGCCTCTTTTACAGCCCTGGCATAACCATCCCAGAACTAAACAGTGACATTAAAACCAAAGAAATACACGGGTTTTGTGTGAGAGGCAGCAGTTAAATGGCATACCACTGATGGAGATAAGCTCCTGGCTTGTTTTGCAATCTAGAATTCATGCAGACTCGGCCTGCAGGTGAGGAAGGAGCTAAATATTGCCATTGACTGAACAGGAATCTGTCTGTCTTGATTACACCTGAAACCTATTAGGATTCAAGAAAGGCGGAAAAAAACTAGTCATTCTGTCAAGGAAAAACAGATTATTGACTAAGAGCTTGTATCTTCCACAGTGAAACATGATTGTGATAGTGACAGAAATACAGCCTCCAAAGTTTTATGTCTTTTTCTTCCTCCCCTGTTCCTTGCAGACACACGTATCCATTTCCAGAGCCCTTGTTGCACCACTGTCTTCCAGCTCCGCAGTATCGACAGCTGTGAGGCTGCCACATCCCACAGCGATGTGCTGTGAAAAAGAGGGGTTTAAATCAAGCCTTCCTTGGAGCAGTGGCTCTACATTCACTAAAGGTGTAAATCTTTGGAAGCAGCTCATACCTGAAGTGCATCCACCCAAACTGGAGTAGGGGAACTGGAGCTGCTTAAGGCAGGGCTGAAGGTCGGGAGTGGGTGGTGGGCACCTATAATGCAAGCCCACATCTGCCAGCACTGCTCTTACAGCATTGACTGGCTTTGTCTGGGGGTGAATGGGGCCCTCTGTGTTGAACACCAGGAGAAATCATTGTTTTTTCTCACCATGGTTTGGAGCAGTCTGTGCAACTGTCTCAGGTGGCTTTTGGGGTATGTCAATGCTTGGATAGTTCCTCAAATGTCTTTAGAAAAGTGTGGCTTGTGAGAGAAGACCTTGGCAGCTAGCACCTCATGAGTCCAGTGGGTTGATTGTGGTTATGTTTTTCGTCCTTTAATTAAATCCTGGGCACAGGCTGAAGGATCCAGTGACGTGAAGGCCCAGCTTTGATCCATCCAGGGCCCCAGTCCTGTCCTTCAGCACACTCAGTTCAAATGAAAACGAGCTACAAGATTTGCAGCCAAATTATATTAGAGTGGCTCACAGCAGTCAGCTGGGATATAACAGGGTGTTTTCTAAGGAAGGCAATAAAGAGAATATTGTCTAGATTAAAAACCTCATATTAAAAATATTTTTCTGTGCAACCAAGGAAATCATGCTTTATTAAAGTAAAATATAGCTTACACAAATAAAGAGGAAAAATAAGCACTGATGTCCTTGTGATTTCCTATTTCCTTGGTAACTGACTATTATGTTCCATTCTCATTGAAGCCAGACAATGTGCATGTGAGTGCAAATGTACTTAAAAATATTGGGGTTTATGATTTGTTAGTGCTACCCACTCCAGTATAGCGTCTCATGGTTTTAGACCCAGGTCAGGTACCTACAAGGTTACTGCATTGCTAACTGCCTGATTAGGCAAGATATGGAAAACAGGGGGTGAGATCTGTGCTGATTTAGGGTTTCTGGTGTTATAGGAGAATTTTCTGTTTGCAGATATTCTCCTAAGATATCACCCTTTCTTTTTGCCTTGCTTCTGACTCTGAAAGCACAGACCAGATTTTCCCTGTACAGTACCTGGCAGCCTTTGAAAATGCATTGATGTTTTCAAGGCAAGGCAAGACAGCTGTTGAGTGGGTGGGTGGGTGGGATGAAAGGGGACTGGAAGGAAATGGTAGGCATGAAGAATGTTCTTCTGCTTTTCTGCCCTGATGTTTTGTTTCAGTTGGTGACATTCATCAGGTGAGTCCTTCTTCACATGCCTTGGCTCGTAGTGTTTTCTGGAATGAGCAATGCAATCACAGGTACAGTGTCTGTCCATATTGGTGTGACTTGTTGCTGACTCACTGCCTCCTCTCTGGCCTTTTGAAACCCCAAGGTGGAGTGGCTGAAGAATGAAGAGGTGATTGATCCTGTGGAAGACCGAAACTTTTACATCACCATTGATCACAACCTGATCATCAAGCAAGCCCGGCTTTCTGACACCGCCAACTACACCTGTGTTGCAAAAAACATCGTGGCCAAAAGGAAAAGCACCACAGCCACTGTGATAGTCTATGGTAGGTGATGCCTTGTACTGTTGCAGGTGGATGGACACACACTCAGAGCAGGAGGGGGGTGCACAATGCCCTTGTGCAGCTCTGGCTGCAGTCAGTGCCCAGGCTGGGCTGCCTGTGCTGCCTGGTGACTTGCAGCCACACACGGGGACTGCAGTTGGGGGCACTGCTGAAATCCCTCAGGAGTCTGGGGACTGCAGTCAGGGGACACTGCTGAAATCCCTCAGGAGCCTGATGACTTGTCTTATTGGTGACAGGCAATGGTGTTAAAGGAGGAAGAGCCCTGCACAAAGAGCCTCATTAGAGAGAAGGTGGCTGTTCCCCTTGCTGTAACACACACTGGCTGCAAACAGCAAGGAGCCACCAGGGCACATCCTCCAGCAGGAGTGTCCAAGGCATCGCTTATTACCAACACGGTTCATGTTCTTAGTGACCTTTTTCTGAAATAAGAGAGAAACTGGTAGAGAGTTTGTGCTTCCAATGACTGGTAAGAGTGTCAGAGGTCATCAGAATCCACCATCTTCTTTTAGCTCTTTAAATAAGCTTATTTTTGGTGCCTACATACCCTGACACCAAGAGCAAAAAAGCAAAGCATTCTGGGACTGCAGTTTGTAGGCACACAGCCTAGCTTAAAGCTAAACATCAGGGGAATATAAAGCATGGCATAGCATTATTCTGTGTCAGCATCCACAGTCCTGATGTGATTGAGGCAGGCCCTGCTTTGGCTGGGAAAGGATGAGATTCCCTCCCAGGGTCTCTTCCAGCCTGTGTTGTGCTGCAGCTCTGCCTCACCAGTCCAAGCCTTTGCCCCTGCAGAGTTACTTCCCCAAATGCATTCCAGGTGGGGGCATCCACCAGAACAAAACCTGCTCTGATTATGTGCCAGCTGACTGAACTGGTGTTTCTTACAATCAGCTTAATTATAGGATAGACAAGTAGGAAAAAATCCCTATGATTATCCCTAATATTCATTTCATATTCAGGGTAGCAGTTAGATTTAATTGTAAGCAGTTGCTTCTCTGAAGTTACAATGAGTGCTTTTTACTTCAGTTTTTATAGAAAACTGACTGAATTGAGTTGATTAGCAGTGCTTTTGGTATTGAGGGATGGACCATGCAAGAGCACCATGTTTTGTAACTGAGATGAATGCAGTAACATAAAGATGTAGGCGTACTATAACCCTTCTTCACACATATAAAGAATTTTTTTTCAAAAGTGTATTCAAGAGACATGTGTAGGGAGCAGTTTTTATGGGTTTTGCTGCCAGAGCTGTTTAAGGGTTGTGCCATATCACAAACATTTGGGTTTAGGGAATCTGAGCAGTTAATATGTTATTTCCCATACCTGACAATCACAATATTATGTAGAAGAGCACAATTCCTTCTCATCCCAGAAACTGTGATGGATGAAAAGGAGAGTCAGTATAAATAACTTTCCAGAGATAAATATCTTCCCAAATTCCAACAAAAAGAAAAGCATTTAGCATTAGCTCATTCTGAACAGCTTAGAGAGGTGCTGGGACATTTATGTATGCACCAGCTATGTCCACAGAGGGATGAGTGAAGTCCTGACATCCTGAAGTCACCTTCTTGAAAGAAAGGAAAAGAAAATTCTTGATGTTTAATCAAAGCATGGGGGTCTCTCAGCATGCATAGGTGATGGGTGCAACTGGGCATGAGTGGGAGTGCAGGTTATCTCCCTCTGGAAAACAGTCCAGCTTTCAGAGCACAGGCTTCTGGCTGCCTGAGCTCTCTGAACCTGCAGGGATTTTGGTCATACACACTCCACCAGGCGCTTAAGGCTGGGTCAGGTTGGTTTTCAGGATAAGGCAGGTCACCTGCCAATCCTAATAGTCATCAAGTGATGTTTTTCATTCAGCATCAGCATTTCTTCAGCTTGTACAATGACTTCTGGCACGCACTTGGCGTGCTGGAGATGTGGGTTTGTACTGTTCAGTGCTGTTTCTCGTGCCATGACTTGTGGCCACTGTTTGAGGCCTCATGACATAGAGCCAGAAGCTCCCTGGGGCTGCCCAGGCTGAGCTGTTTGTGTGACCATGCTCTTTTTCTCCTGCTTTGCAGTGAATGGAGGCTGGTCCACCTGGACAGAGTGGTCTGTGTGTAACAGCCGCTGCGGGAGAGGCTTCCAGAAGCGCACGAGGACCTGCACCAACCCTGCCCCGCTCAACGGCGGCGCCTTCTGCGAGGGCCAGAGCGTCCAGAAAATAGCTTGCACCACTCTGTGTCCAGGTTCAGTATGAACAGCACACATAAATAGTTTGTCTGTCATCAGTCATTTCAGAACACTTGCGACAGCTTCCTTTTCATTATTAATAAATCCAGCATCTCAGGGAATTAACAATCAAATGTAGTGCATAACCAGATAAAATAGTGAGCGAATCATAACAAGCAGCACCAGCCCTTCTTTTGCACACTGCTTGCACTGTGGTCTCAGCTCTTACAATTCAGGAGATTTGGGAATATTCAGAGCTTCAAAATGTAGGAGATAAAGGTTGAAAGCTCTGGAAAAGAATTGGGATTTGAATATAGAAAGCAACTGTGATGTAAATATATTTGCAATGTCTGTTCAGTCCAGCTGTCTCAGCAAGTAAAGCATCTGGGATGTAGATATTAAATTTGAGGCAGATGTTTACCTGACATATACAATTGTCAAATACAAAGGCATTTTTATTGGAAAGAGATGTGCATCCATACTTTTGGAAGTTATTTAAATGCAACTTCTGAAAAATACAAAATTGTTTCAGGACATGAAATGTAGTTGGTGACTTCTTGTGATAAAATTCTGCCATCTGTCCTACTGTCCAGTGCTCTCCCACTACTGACCCACTCTAATCAATGGCAGTAAGGCATCTTCAGTTTGTGAAGTTTGGTAATCCAGCTCTCTCACTGGAACAGTTTTGTATATTATTCTTCAGCTGTTCATTTTAGTGCTTTTGAAAATAATTTGCAGGGTTTTGAAAGGTGCTAAACACTCCTGGTTCTGTTCATGTGAAATAAATTGGTGCCTCCAGAGATTTCTTTTAATAGAGAATATTTAACATTAAATATCTTCCTATTAAAGAAGAATTTCTGGAAAAGTCTAACCTCTGTATTAAAAATGCCACCCCCCTGCCACAAAATTAAATCACAGATTCCTGACTTGTTGCTTGTACACTTTGAGCATAGATAAACTGGTTAGAAGTTTATATAAAGGGGAGGAAAGACCAGAAATGGGGCCAGGACAGAGAGAAAGGAGATGTGGGGATGCATGTGCCTTTACAGGCCAGAAGAAGAAGAGCAGGCTGATGATCCTTCTGCCTTGCCAGGAAGGGCTGGGAGCTGCAGACTGGCTTGTGCTGACACGTGCATTGCTCTATCTTGGTCTCACTGTTGTGTCCCCTAACAAGTTGTGTCCTCTCCTTGTCTCAGTGGATGGCAAGTGGACATCCTGGAGCAAGTGGTCCACGTGTGGCACGGAGTGCACCCACTGGCGCCGCAGAGAGTGCACGGCCCCAGCTCCCAAGAATGGGGGCAAGGACTGCGAGGGGCTGGTGCTGCAGTCCAAGAACTGCACGGATGGGCTCTGCATGCAGGGTAAGTGCTCTCTCCAGGATCTGGGATGTATGTGGCAAACCATGAAATAACTGCAGATCAGCATCAATGACCTAAACTCACAAACCATTGTAGGAGAAATGAGTTAGGGACCAGTTCTCAACCAGCCTGGACACCCCACTCCTCTTTCCTAGAATATGGAACAGTGAAGAATTAGAAAGTCATAACAGAGCCTTTTACTGTCTGCCCTCCCCACAAAAGAGCCCTCCTCTCTATATTGGCTCAGCATCTGTCCAGAGAAGCTTGGCAGTGACTCTTACAGCACTGCAAATGGAAAAATAGAGCATTTAGAGCAAAGCCAGCAATTCCAAATGAGTAAACTTGGCCAAGCAGATCAGCTTCTGGCTTCTTACTGTCAGAATGGTGAGTGCATGTGTTTCTATTTATAATAATTACACTCCTTTTTCAATTTCGGGTGACCTGTGGTAGAAGGAGGTACTTCATCAATGCAGTGCTGATGCAAACTTCCTATCTGGTTGCCAGCATGCTGCAGCCTCCTGAAGATCAGCTTTAGCACTGAAGTCTATTCCACCTGTGCCTATTCAAGAGTGGTCCTGCCTTTCTGACTAATGGAGAGAGAAGCAAAGAAAAGCAGGTTTTTAAGTGTAATTCTGACATACACTGATGAGCAATTATTCAGCTCTACATTTCGTCCCTTCTCAAAAATGAGGTCTTCTCTGCTCTGCTGGTGCATCAAAACTCCCTTTCACGTTTCATTAGTGAGCCAGAATCCTCACATACAGCTCTTTCCTATTCCTTCATCCCACCTCTCTGCAGTACTTCTCTGTCAAGCCTGAGCTCTCTGTTGTCCAAAGAGTTGTGGCTGTGCCCATCCAGTACCTCTGTGTCCAGATCATAAAATGCTTTTGGCATTTTTGTTCTAAAATTGGCATTGAGTTCTATCATAAAAAAAGGAGTAAAGAATCCTTATTCTTTGAGGCAGGTTACTTTTGACTGAAATATTCATGATGACAGAAAATGACACTACCAGCTAATAAATTGGTCTGCTCTTTGAATAAGTGCTATATAGGACAGCTCCTATGTTGGTAGTGATCTCTGAGCTACCCTATGGCACAGCATGACCATTTACTTTGAGGTTTCCCAGATTTACAAACATCTCCCTCCATGTGGCTCACACAAGCATTTCCATCATGTTAAAAGCTGTTAGTCAATGTCAGTGGTCTATAAAGATGTAATCCCTCAAAACACTTGCTTTTATGGTGAAATTGGGAAGGTAACATTCAAAACTCCTCTCCTTTTCATTTCTAAGGATAAGGAAAAAAATCCAGGTACATGTTACTATACAACACCTTGGTGACTTTTATTGTAGGGAAGCTAATGCAGCCCTAGTTCCAGCAGTGTTAATAAGTCATTATGGCAAATTAGGAGGAAAACATGCATTTCCCCACACAGAAGAGCTCTTCACTATCAGATTATATTTAGACAGGTGTATGTCATCTTTGTGTATGTGCATAAAGAGAGCCATTTAAGCAGAAATCTTGTGGAAAAGTAGATATAATAGTACAGCAGAATAAAAGCCCTGTAGGGATCTCATTTATCTGTTGATGGTGTATTGCATTTTATTTGTGAAAGTGGATGCTGAGTATAAAGCAGAGGTCTTCAGCAGGAGAGAGGGTGAAACTGTTGTGAATCCTATTCTGCTTCATATATATGTATATAAAAAATGGTAATGAAAAATATGCAGTCACATAATGACCTGCTTAGCTCCAGGGACCATGATAATCCTTCAGTGCTGGAATTTAATGGCACTGTTTTAATGGTGTCTTTATACTCTCAGGGTTTCATATACCTGTAAAACTTCCAGTCCTGCTCCCTGATCCATCACTGCTGAGAAGATTGATTTGCTGTACTTTGTGGCAGTGTGCCTGCTGCTTTCTCTTTCTCTCTCCTTCCCTCTCTTTTTATTTATTTATCTTTGTCAGTTTATGCAAAATCAATCTGAACACTTACATTTTTGCTTGTGTGGATTTAGATTCTTAGAAAATCTGCCTGCTGAGCCAGGAAGACACAAAGCATTCCTTTAATTCCTATAACAACATGCCTCTTTCCACATTATTTGAGGCTTTGGGGGTCTGGCCTGGAACTGACAATTCTCTTAGCCTGGTCACCTGTAGATTCACAACAGTCTTTTCCAGTGGCACATGTGGTGTGGAGGAAGCTTCAGCCACCTTTTCTCTGTGGCCACAGCCCCCTAGGAGATCTGTTGGCCAGCTGCTTACCTGCACCACAGTCAAATCCTGTTTCTAGGTGCCCTGGTGCTGCTTCCTTACTGCCAGCCTTTAGTGAGAGCCTGAAGGTTGACACCATGGGTGTAGTGAGGTCAAAGAATTAGTAGGCAAACACTCTGCCAGGAGTCTCTAGCCTGTTGCTCTGACAAAAACTCACTTGTAAATATGTATCTCTATATAGCTGCGTGTAAAAGATATCCTGGAAAATGCTGAATTGAATGAGTCTCATTTACAAGCCCTTTCTCTTCCAGTCTATTATTCACTTCAGGAGCATCAGCTGGATAAATCAATAAGCTCTTTCATCAGACTGCCCCTGCTCCAGCAAAGAGCACAAGTCTGCACCACTATCGATTTCTGTGGGGATAAAAACAGTGGAGCTTTCTCCATCCCTTGTAATTACAGTATTTTACACCCAAAGCTGTAGTTTGTGCTTACCACTGACTGTGGCATTTCTCATGCAACTCTGCTGTTGCATTTATTCAGACTAATCATCTTGCTGGTACACACATCCTCTCCCGTATCCAGTAGTTTGTGTTTTTCTGTTAACATGAAGGGATGAACAGCCATTAAACTAGAGAGCCCACAGAGAGCCAGCAGGCTGAATTGAAGAGGAAAAGCAGATGTAGTGAAAATTTAGGGCAGTCATTGCTATTTTAAGTTTTCAAGTACACAATATTGTCTAGCAGTTCCCATTATAACAATTTCAAAATTCCCATAATAGCATTAATAAGATTTTCTGGAACAAAATCTGCTGTAGGTGTGAGAAGAATTGGCTGGTTACCACCCACACTAGTTGCATTATTGCCTCCATAGTTGCATTATTTCCCACTTGATGTGTGAGTACCGTGGTAAATACTTCAGTGCAAGGAACAACACTTTTAGAGGCACGCACTGCATCTCACAGGGGATTGCTGTAAACTGAAGCACTGCAATTAGCCCTTCACTTGTATCACCTAATGACTTTGGTGGGTGTTTTGTGCAGGGAATGAGAAAGCAAAGCACTCTCCTGCTGCCTCAAACTTCAGTACAAGTAGTTTCCTTCACTAGGTCACAAACATTTTTAAAGCAATGTACCAGGAGAAGTGTTTTGCTGGACTCACTCTGGAACAAGTGCAAGATCACTTGTGTGGTACAAAATGCTGCTTTTGCTTTGCATTATGTGTAAAATTCTGCTGATAGTCAAGAAGAGGGACACAAGCTATGAGGAGAGTTAGCTGTGCTTCATGGTTATGTTGAAGGCTTTTTACCTGAGTTGTGACATGCAGCTGTCACGCTCACAGCAGGTCAGATATATCCTTTCTGTTGAGGATCTGAAGTGACAGTGTTCAGATCTGTATTGTCCCTGTCCTGAATGAATAAGTACAGCAGGTCCATAGGCATGAGGTTGGTGCCTGCTGGTCTTGTAGGCTTTTCTGAAATCATACCTGGGATGTGCAGGGTTGGCACTAGCTCAGTCAGAGGGAGACAACCAGTGCCCCTTTTTCTGCTCACTTTTGGCTTTAGTCAACCACTGTGGCTTTTCATAAAAGGCTGGCTAAGTTTTGCTTTAATTTTTTTTTTTTTTTTTCAAAACACAAAGCTAACTCTCTTACAGCAACAAGCAAGATAATACAGAAGCACATGTTGTTGCTTGAGGGCTATGGGTTATATATTTACACAAATAGTACTGTTGCTCTGTGAAATAGAATTGCTTACTTTATATGGTCTCACGATAGGGAATAAAAATCTATCATTGATTAGGAACAAATGGAAATTTCCACCTGGGAATCATTGTCAAGGGTCATCAGTATGGAATTTCCCTCTGTTTCTTGAGCATGAAAAGACTATGTGCTACTGTAATTCAAAAAAAATGGAAGAAAATATTCAAAATATCTTCACCTGTTGCTACAATACTCTGGACTAGGTCTCAGGTCCTTTCCCTGCCTGTTAATTAGTTAAGCATGCAGCTTAACTATCTGGAAATGCAAATAGCACCACTGGAGGAAAAGACACCATACCATGGTGAAGATGTTATTACCAGACTAGTAATGCCATTCCTTCTTAGAAAAGGCTGCCTTCTAGTCAAGAGTGAATTGATGTGACGTGGTGATAGCAAATCTGTATTTGCTAAGTGCTCTGAAATACTCCTCTGAAAAGCAGTGTAAAGTTCATAAGGTTCCCTCTTGCAATGATAGTGCCTAAGCAAGTGAAAAAGATGCAGTTTATCCTGCTTGGGCATTAAATGGCAAAAACTTCTCTTTTTCAGTCTTGTCTCTGTTTATACAGATCCTGAGTGGAAAGCAAAGTTATCCTGATACCAGCATCTCTTTCTTTCCAAAACATCCATATTCTGCACATGTCCTGCTTGGTTAATGCAACATGTCAGAAACTCTGATGGAATCAGAATTCGTTTCCCCTTTTGGCTTGATTTGAAAGCAGGCATTCAGGGAAAAATTACAGGGCAGAGCAGCTTGATGAGGACCACAGGTCCACCAGAGCAGATCAGTGTGCAAAGAGCAGGGGAATGTTTTCCAAGCTCCAGAAGGTAAGCAGAAGTCTCTCGAGGGAGACTGCAACAGAAGCCTGTGTGTGCAGAGGAATGAAATAAAACCTTTTATTAAGAGCATGTGGGTCAAGAGAGAACTTCTAATACATTCAGGCTGTCAGCATAATGACACAGCCACCTGGTCCGTTTTGGCCTAGCAGGGGGAGTTCATTCATTTGAAGCAGGCATCTCATCTGTTCCTAGAGGAA